AGCCTGGTCGTGGATGATCTTCTCTGGGAGCTCAACAGTAAAGGTCATTTCACAGTAGGATATGCTGATGATATAGCAATCCTAATCAATGGAAAATTCCCTTATACTGTGTCAGAGGTCTTACAAACAGCCGTGTACACAGTTAAACAGTGGTGCGATAGAACAAACTTGTCTATCAATCGAAACAAGACGGTAATTATACCCCTTACTAGGAGGAGGAATATCAAGGGGCTTAGGGAACCAATCCTCTTCAATCAAGCGATCCGGCTACCCAGTGAAGTCAAGTACCTTTGAATAACATTAGACAAGGAACTTCCATGGAAAAAACAGCTGGACAAGGCTATTAACAAGGCCTATAACGCCTTCTGGACATGCAGAGGCACGTAGTTACTATAGGAGTTTGACGATGGTGTATAACACANTGGGAATTACGGGAGCAATGAGGACAGCTCCAACAGCTGCAATGGAAATCCTACTAGGACTCCCCCCCACTGCATCTGCAGGTGGAAGCGGAGGCCGAGTTAGGTAATTACAGATTACATTGCAATGATCAATGGAGACCTAAATCTGAAGGTTTTGGACATGCATACGTGGTTCAGGACATGAAAAAGGAACCCGTCCTACAGATGGGGTCTGATAAAATGATACCGAAACATGTCTATGATAAACCCTTCACGATCAGATTTCCTGATAGAAGTGAATGGAGAGAGGGGCTTCAACCTGGTAGAAAGTGGGGACTAATCTGGTATACAGATGGTTCCAAGACAAATAAAAGCACTGTAGCTGGGGTGTATTGTGATGGAACGAGGCGGAAGCCACAACTGGACTGAAACAGGCAAAGGATTTATACCAGAAGCCTCTGCCAAAAGAAATAGGGACCTGTTGAAATTAAACAGAGATCAGTTAAGATGGGTGCCACCTAAAAGGGCAGCTTTTCAAACTGGGACTGACAGACGGCCCAACTTGCGAAAGGTGTTTACAAGAAGATGAATCAGCCAGACATACCCTATGTGATTGTGAGGTCATGGCTTATTTAAGATTTCGTCACCTGGGTCAGTTCTTTATGGAACCAAATGACTTTAATGACGCCCCCATGAATAAAGTCCTACATTTCATTCGAAGTGTAGGATTAATAAAGGGTTAATCTAAAGGGGAAGCACAATACATCACTAAAGGTCACATTACAAGGACCGGATTTTATGGCCCGCCCCTTATACTCTTACATTATGCAGTTCGTATGACCGGAACCTGCATGGAGCAGGGCCATGTGTATGTCTACTTAAAGTTACCTTGTAAATATATGTGAATATAGTACTTTAAATTTTCAGTGCTTTGGTTTTGAAGGGTTTTACTATTTTTTCGAAACCTAACGCCGAGTAGTCCGCTGAATTTGCACCGACCTTTCGGAGGAACATGTCGCCTTCAACTTCAGTGTTGAAGAGTGAGCCAAACTAAAAACCAGAATGAAGCAGATATCAAGGAGCATAACCTTTGGTTTTCTTGAACCCTGAAGATGAAGGAGACGTGTTTCTCCGAAACGTCGGTTGGCTCTCAACGGACTACATGGCGGATTATTCGAGAAGATAGAATTTTTTAAATATAAATGATTTTTCTAGTCATTATTTCACTATTAATTGCAGACACATACGAGTATAATGTAAATACGTATATTTTCATCTATTTGTCTACCTGCCCGTCTGCCTATCCGTCCGTCCGTCCATTCATCCATCTATCCATCAATGGCTCTACAGTCCTTGTTGGACCTTGTCCGTTTTTCAGTTTCTTAATCCTATACACAGTTGTTAAAATTCCTTGAATGGGGAATCAGCCCGTCGCAAGACCTCTACCTACACACGGAACAACACAAGTACAGAATAAACGCACACAGACATCCATGCCTTGATAGGGATTCGAACACACGATCCCGGCACTCGAGCGAGCGAAGAAAGTTCATGCCTTAGACCGCACGGCCACTGTGATCGGCATGTTTTCATACGTGGACGAGTATATATATATACACACACACACACACACATATATATATATATGTGTGTGTGTGTGTGTATTTCATTGGACTTAATCCTTCCAGCCGCAATATGGCCCTGGGGTTGACTCAGCCTCTAACGGAAATGAGTACCAGGAATTTTCCTGGGGACTAATGGGCTGCCGGCTCGTAATGCTGACAGCCTCACCGCCATCTGTGAGCCGATTGTCTAGATAATGTGGGAGCCTCAACGTCTCACAACCCTATGGGCCCTCACGGCCTGTTACATGGATAGCGTTACCTTTTACCTCTTTCTTAAGAGATCTTAAAACACTGCCTTCTGTATCACTGTGGCAGTATGGATTTGAGGTTTGTTTTCCCCGAGGATAATAATGTTATCTGCATCCTTCGGGACAGCCAATTTCAAATGATTCGACATGACAGACATTTATTATTTGTTAGCCTTACTGGGGTGAGATTGAGTCCACTTGGTACGGCGGCTATTTCTCGCCTATTGTACCAGCTCCAGATGATAGATGATGGTGACTATGGAGCAATTGGTAGAATAAGTAATGGAAACTGAAGTACTCCGAGGAAATTTATCTCACCGCCACTTTGTCCACCACAAATCTCACATGACCTGACCGGGGCTCGAACCTGGGCCGCCGTGGTGGGAAGCCTTGCTACTAGCCGCTCAAGCTTTGGCACTGCTATGACAGACAGTTACTCTTCCATTTCAACGTCTTGGAACTTCCAGACAACCCATCTCATTAGAAGTTGTCCCTGTGTTTATCTAATCAAGCACTACGCCATGAAAGCGCAGGTGGAGTGGACGTACAAATCCTCGTATTCTTGACCTCGGGGCTAGTTGGAGACGAGTAGACAGTTTCACGCTCTGGCCGCTTTACTCCTCGGGAAACGGCCCCCGGTACCCGTTGGATGGGGGCTTGGTGTGCCCCAGAGCCGGTCTGGTCGACACAAAGAAGACAAAATCTTGTCCCTACCGGAACTCGAAATGCGACCTTGCGGCCGTCCCAACCAGTCGCTATACCGACTGCGCTACCCCAGCTCTTGAAAAGTGACTTTGGATGTTACAGTATCCGTCTCGTCCACCAGAAATTTTCTTACATCAGAAAAAAAAAAAAGTAAAGCTATCCCTGTAACTGGCCATGAAGGCCCATAGGATTGTGAGCCGTTGAGGGTCCCACATTATCTAGATAATCGGCTCAAAGATGGCGGTAAGGTTGTCAGCCTTACACACCGGCCGCGCTTTACTCCCCAGGAAAATTATTTAATTAATTCCTGGTACTCGTTTCTGTTAGAGGCTGAGTCGACGCCGGGGCCATAGTGCGGCCGGAAGGATTAGGTCAATTGAAAAATATCCAATGACTTTATCGGGACTTGAACCCGCGACCTTCCGTCTTGTAGCATAGTGCCTCAGCCAACTACGCTACCGCATTAAATCTAAACTCCACTGAATTTAATAGCATAAACAAAGACAGAATGCTCGTAGATCCATGAAATTCCAATTCCATATTAAGTTATTTTTCTCTCTCTCGGATATCCTTTTCTAGCACACTCGTATGCACCGGATTGCTTTCTCGTAATTAAATCTTTGCCAAAAGAATAAAATCCAGTTGTTTCTTCACACTCGTTATACCTTTCCTTGGCAATATAAACGATATAGAACCACAGATTTGGGCAGCAAGGCAACCTTCTTGCAACATCCTTTCAACTGGTCACTTTTAGTATCACATGCTGGAGCAACTCGATCCTACATATTTCGAAAGGATCTAAATTGTCCTTCGTTTCTAACATGTCTCTTAAACTAGTCTCATCCTTTGCTGAAAACGTATATCCGTTGTCGGTAGCGTGCATATTCAGCGAAATCGTTATTTAGTAATATATGCGAGTAGGTAAGTGGATGAATTATCTGTGGAAACTGTAACTGGAGATGGAAATAGTTTGTTTCAAAGGTTTCACCCACATATTGTATTTGAGATAATTAACAACAATGTGCTGCTACTGTCTAATGTAAGGGAGGATTCCAAATTATAAACTGAAAGGAATGAAATAATAGCTCTTAATAAAACTTATAGTGTCCGTCGTGTTTATTTTGTGTGTGAGGGTGAACTCACTCAATATTGGGAGGGTTTTCATGGCTCTCCTAGTCCCTCCGGCTAAATGTCGGAATAGTAATCTTAAATCAGACCTCGACCGATTTTTTTTTTCACGTCTGTTATAATTAATTATTTGCTGTCATCTGGGCATTCATTGCTGTACAAAACGAGTTATGGATGTCGTATTGAAACTTATATAGCTTCGATGGTATGAAGGTTAATAAATACGAAGCAGTATTTGGAACGAGAACTGGCAGAGGAAACCGAAGTACTTGAAGAAGTCCCACCCCAGTGCAACTTCGTCCACCACAGGTCCCACATGACCTAACCTGGGATTGATCCCGGCTGACTAACCACCGAGCTATGGCACGGTCCCTGACGATTGTACTTTGTCAAATTGTGACTGAAAGCAATATATCTCCGGTGAAGAAGACAATGCCCATTATGATACTTTGTTCGCAGCTGAAAAGAAGGGTCAAGTGTTTTTCAAAAAGTGTGTTTTTATGCCTAACCTTTGTCGGAGACATTTCTTCTAGACAGAAGCGCCGCTTAGTGAAAAGATTATTCGTTCAAGTTTGGTATATTGGTATAAATGTAGCTCTTTCCAGAACTTTTCAGTCTACTGAGGTTAGATGTTGTTGTCTACGTTCTTTTTCATCAATTCGCCCTTGAAATTTCAACGGGATATGTTAAAACAAATGTATCCTAGTTGTGCTTCTAAATGCTTTGTATTCGACGCGCATTACGTGTAATAAGAGGTACAACCCACCGTCATATTTAAGAATCCGTGACACAGCGGATGCAGCATGTGTTGACAAAAACAGTGGCGACGGTGGCGACAGTGGGTGGTAACCATGGTAAACATGTGAAATTCAGTGTTACAGCTGGCCCGCGGAGAAAAGGAAAGAAAAGAACAGTGCGAATAAGGGTGACAGGCGGGCTGTAGTAGTTTGGAAGCATTGAAAACGATGGAGAAAGTTAAATTGAAACAGGTAAATGATAAGCAGAAGTGGACTTTTATTATTTTCTTAGACTGTGGAATGTACTGAGTATTATATCCCAGCAGCGACTGTAAATGTTATTTTAAACTACACGCATGTTTCCCTTCACTTGAACAGTTAATTTTCTGCGTGTCATTCCTGTTTGCCAACCACAACCTTTTAATTGCGAAACTCTAGATGTTTGACTTAAATACAGTAATGGCCGTTAAATTCCCATATGTAAAATAGATAACCGTGAACATATACGGTGTTCACGCCCAATAACATTCCTTCAGATAGATAAAGTAAACAAACAAGGACAACTGAATAGAAAACACCCCACGTATAATTGGGGGCACACGGTAGCGTAGTTGGTTGAGGCATTATGCTACAAGCCAGAAGGTCGCGGGTTCGATTCCCGATGTAATTGCATTATTCAGTTGACCTAATCCTTCCAGCCACAGTATGGCCCTGGGGCCGACTCAGCTCCTATCAGAACTGAGTACCAGGAATCTTCTGGAGGGGGAAGGTGGGGTAAAGGATGGCCGGTGTGTAAGGCTGAAAGCCTCATCACCATCTGTGAGCCAGTTGTCTAGGAAATGTGAGAACCTCAATGACTCACAACCCCAGTGGGCCTCCACTGCATGTTATAGGGATAGTGTTACTTTTTTTTCCCCCACATACAACTCCTTAACATATAATTCTTAATTTTTAGAGCAAGAAGAAAGAGAAACCTCTAAATGAAGAAGAGGCTATTGCAGGATCAATTCCAGATGCTCCATTATTAGGAGATTTCCTTCCTGATAATGCAAGTGTGGTTTCCAGTTACTTCTGTTCAGAGAGTTCCAAAAATATTGAAAGTGAAATACTTGATGCAGTTAGGGATGATGGGGCATGTGTACAGATGGAAGAAGAAAATAAACAGTCTTGTAAGCATGAGATTTGTGATACTGACCAAAGTACAGTACAGACACGACTGGAAAGTATGTCACTGGCTGACAGTAAAATTGTTCTGCCTACAAATGATGTTGAGAACCTAAGTGAATTCCAAGAGTTAGAGAATTACAGAAAATCAGACATTGCAGTTGGGACAGAGTTGCAGGAAATTCATTCATATGTGTTAGCCACTATGGACTCCAGCAATGTGGAAGCTGACAGCAGATTAGAATCCCCAAGGCTCTCCATAGTTGACAATCTGTGCGAACATGATTCTCATACAAAAGGGGAGACTGTTTCAGCACCCATGGATATGCCCACAACAGAAGTAAATGAGGTTAGCATTACCAAAATTGTACCACTATCAGTGACATCAGTGAAGGTAGACGATGAAAGAAAAATAGCGACATTTCCAAAAGAAGATGTTAAAATTGTTAGACCACATATGTCTAAGTCTATTAATGATGTGAATAATTCAGAAGCTGTAGTACATGAAATAAGGCCGTTTACTGAAGCACAGCTCTCATCCCTTTATAGCAATCGAGAATTGGAAATGAATGCTGAATTTGTGTCAGAGTTTGTGGAGAATCACTTACGTGATGGGCGACAGCAGCATTGTCTGTATGAGCTGCTGGTGAGTTACTTTCGTGCCAGAAATAGACTTATTGTCAATGCAATGGATCTTGAAGCCCTGAAGAAGGAATGTGAAGAGCATCAGAATAATCTGTGGATGATCGAGACGAGCGTCATGTCTGACAGTGGGGAATGCCAAGATGGTAATCCAGTTTCAGCATCCCATGAGTACAAAGTGTCACGATTCAGCAAGACTGCCTTATCCTCTTTGGCTCGATCACTGGCATCCGTGAAGGAACTTGTTAATGAGGTGCATTCACTAAACTCATATACTTCTGAGGTTCTCAAGCTTCAAATAGAACATTATATACAGAGTGTTGCAAATTCATGTCCTGAATTGATGCAACTACCTCATAACGTACCAGCGAACCTTCACCTTGGTGAGCCGCCACCGCATGTTGCAGCTTGCTTCTCGGAGTTGCGAACGTGCATAGCGATCCTGTTCACATTCCAGAGACGCTTAGTGAAAGATTCCCAGTTTGTGTCAGACACAAGGGATTGGTTATCTCGCCTGGTGGCTGTCTTGCTTCGTGTGGCCTCATGGAGGGATCACTTGTTCCTACTGAATCATGTCCTGCGTTGCCCTGCTGATGTAGGATCATGGGCTGCTGGCTATATTCAGGCTCCTTCACCTCCACTTCCTTGCCTTGTTGACAGTGGGCATTATGGTTCTAGTCCTTCCCCATTTACAAGTTCCCACCTGGACCACATGGTGGCAGTGTTGGCAACCATCCTGCTGCCTATTCGAGAGAGGGAACGTTTCTTGGAACAGGTACGGGCATTATTAAGCTGTATTTTTCAGAAATAAAATTTGTATCAGAGTTTAAGAAGTATGAACATGCTTCTTATAACCTTAGAATGTCTGTCACTGTGTTTGTATGTAGGTTGTACCGAAAGTCATGAGCAACTTTTTTTTGCATGCAACCTGGGAACAGCAGACGAAAGAGAGTACAGTGGTAGGTGGAACCAGCTGTTGTGTTAACCTTGAGTGTTTTGTGACGTCAATAGCTTGCATCACGTGACCAGTATCACTCCTAACAAAATGGCCGACAACGATATGTCATTTCGCCAGCGTGCTGTCATCGCATTTCTTGTGAAAGAGGAAATCCTTGCTGCAGAAATTCACCAGGGACTTCAGCGTGCTTATGGAAGTGTGTGCATGGGTGCAAGCAGTGTTCGAAGATGGGTGAAAGATTTTAAAGATGGGAACACCAGCATCGAAGATGAACCTCGGAGTGGTCATCCTCGAACAACCTCAACTGAACGCAACAAGGAAAGAGTGGATGAGATCATTCAAGATGACAGATGTGCGACTGTGGACACAATAGTCCAAAAACTTGGAATAGGGCAGAGTACAGTACAGGAGATGATTGAAAGCTTGGGCTGTAGGAAAGTTTCTGCTCGTTGGGTCCTGAGGTTGTTGACCGAAGACCACAAAGATCAGCGAAAAGCCATCACCTCAGAACTGCTGCAGAGATACCGACACGAAGGCGATTTTTTGCTCTGTATTGTGACAGGTGATGAAAGCTGGTTTCACCATTTCAAGCCTGAAACAAAACAGCAGAGTACGGAAAGGCACCAATTGCATTCTCCATCAAGAAAGAAGGCAAAGACCGTGCCATCAGCTGCGAAGGTGATGGGCAGAGTCTTCTGGGATGCAGAGGGGTTTATTCTGGCCGAATTCCTGGAACCTTGGCAAACCATCAATGCTGCTCATTATGTCCAGACGCTGCACAAGCCCCGTCGTGCATTGCGCGATAAACGTCCGGGATGATGAAACGTCATTATCTTGCATGACAACGCTCGCCCCCACGCCGCTCACCTCACATTGGAAGCAATTGCAAAGATGGGGTGGGAAGTTCTTCCACACCCCTCCTATAGCCCTGATCTGGCACCCTCCGACTACCATCTTTTCGGATTTATGAAGGATCAGCTGTGTGGACAATGTTTTAAGATGAGGGAGGCAATTCAGAAAGCAGTGCGTAAGTGTCTTTGGATGGCTGGAACGGAATTTTACAGAAGGGGAATTTTCAAACTCCCAGAACGCTGGGAGAAATGTGTACAAAGAAGTGGCGATTACATGAAAAAATAAAGAAAGGTCTGTAGATTGAGGTGGTGTATTTGGTTTGCCAATAATAAAGCATGTTACTTTACAAAAAATTGTTGCTCATGACTTTCAGTATGACCCTCATACTTGTTAATGTGGTAAACAGTATTTCATACTGAATTTTTGGATATGTTCATGAACCTCTATAGGAGTCAGGATAGCTCAGTCAGTATAGTGACAGGCTACAGGCTGGATGGCCACGTTTCGATTCCCAGCAGTGCAAGATTTTACTCCTCTCCACAGCGTTCAGACCATCTCTGGGGCCTATCCAATGGGTACTGGGGGCTCTTTCCCTGCAGGGTAAATCTGCAAGGACATGGAGATGTGTACATTCACCTCCATCTAGTGTCAAAATGTTTTTTTTTACACCAACCTCCGTGCCAAATTTAACATTAACTCCAGTGAATCATTACTGCCCTCATATCAGACATGAAATGTAGAGTTCCCATGGCTGCCATGTTGCAGAAACATTACCATAACGATGGAGGATTAACTGTCATTGGTGTCACTCTTTCGTACAAGTTTCTACAGGTGCTTTGTTAGAAATTGAAGGTACTAACATGCAATAGGATGATCACAGTGACTACATGCTCTAAGGCACCCACTGGATCGTGGGTTTGAATCCCACTCAAGACATGGATGTCTGTATGTATGTTTATTCTGTGTTTGTGTTGCCCTGTGTATGTAGCAGCCTTGTGATGGGCCGATCACTCGATCAAAGAAGTCCTACCATTTGTATAAAAAAGATTACGAACCTGAAGAACAGGCTAGGTAGTGTCAAAATGCCATTGAATGAATGAATGAATGAATGAATGAATGAACATGGAATAGTCTCTCATGCATGATTATTTATACTAAGTTTTTATTCAGATCTGTCAGTTGAAAATTATTTTTTTCTGTGATGTAATGCCTTATACAGTGGTAGACATTTAGAGATACTTTTGGAGAAGTACGCTGCCTTGATCTTCAGGGCCTGTTCTCTCCTTTAGATGGAGGTAAACATGTACCAGAGTTCAGAGTGTCACATCCCAGAAGATAGTACTCTGCATAGCCACTACTGCTAGACCCTCTGATATCGTACGGAAGGTGGATATCAACAAAATTTGATATTTTCATGTTAGAAAAGTTTGTGAGGCAGATGTAATTTAATTTTTTTTATGAAAGTTCAGTTTGCAGTTAGCAAGGGAATTCATCTTTTGCTTGGCAGTTCCATTTGAACCAGTATGGTATCTCAGAAAAATCTCTTTTGGAACTAACCCATTTATTGTGTAGCCCATGAGACAGTATGGGGCACGCGATAGCGTAGTTGGTCGAGGCACTATGCTACAAGCCAGAAGGTCCCGGGTTCAAGTCCCGATGAGGTCGTTGGTTTTTTCAATTGACCTAATTCTTCCAGCCGCACTATGGCCCTGGAGTCGACTCAGCCTCTAACAGAAATGAGTACCAGGAATTAATTAAATAATTTTCATAGGGAGTAAAGTGCGGCTGGCGCATAAGGCTGACAACCTTACCGCCATTGTCTAGATTGTCTAGAAAATGTGGGACCCTCAACATCTCACAACCCTATGGGCCTCTGTGGCCTGTTACAGGGACAGCTTTTCTTTTTTTTTTTTTTTTTACTTTTACATGAGACAGTATTTTTCAGTAACATAATATGAATAGAATATGTGATTTATGATACAGATACTGAAAAGAATTATTCAGAGCTAGTAGTAAATGGGAGGATAATATTAAAATTGATCTTAAAGAAATAAATGGGTCTGGACTGGATTCATCAGCCTCAGAATATGGGCCAGGGGCAGGTTCATATAATCACAGTAATAAATCTTTGGGTTCCATATAATGCTGAGAATTTCTTGACTCGCTGAACAGCTGTTAGCTTTTCAAGGATAATTATGCATCACAAAGTTAAGGATTTTGTTGAGGTTTGTTTTATCATGAGTTACACATCAATTACTTCATAATGCATGATTGTTTTTATTGGCAACGTCAGATCAAAAGAGTGTGTAAACAAAGGCAAATGTACTGAAACATTTAGAAGTACAGTATGAGACACTAATCTTGAGAAATGTGAAGAATGCAGGAAGTCAGAACCATTAAAGGCATGGTTGCAGCATGAATCAGCAACTACTACCTGAACCAAAACATTCAGTATGTACTGTGTAGTGGCTGTTCAATTTTCATGTAACGGTAGTACCCTAGACATGTATTCAGGAGATGCTTCATTCAAAGTTTCGCTGGGACACCAGCTATCGAAGCCGAGGTTTAGTGGTTTCCCACAGTTCTTCCAAGAAAATGGAGGCAGTGTTTTCTTCTGGAATGGTGATACCAGTGTGTCACACTACATGTCACATCCTGGAACACCATATGTTAATACACATGTCCATACAAACTCTGAATCTTAATGTTTTCTCCATTGAAATCTGAAGGGAAGAAACTATCACTGAGTAGGTCTGTGTACAGTACAAGGCCGTAATCTTGAGAGATGTGAGAAATGCAGCCAGAACTATTAAAGGCAGGGTTGTAGCATGGATCAGCAGCTTACCTGAGCCAAAACATTCAATACGTACACTATTGCCGTAGTTCAGTTCATTGGAGCTCTCCACAGGTATGCTACTGGCCAACAATACAATTATTGTATGTTTAGATATTATCTATCAACTGAGTAGGTTTTTTACCCAACGACAGAGGAAGAATCCAGTCTCCAAAATGTGTTTTAAATAAAAAGAACAGGATGATGGACGATGCATAATAATTATATTTTTATACAATCATCACAAACTTGTAGACCTTAGTGGCTGATATGTTCTGAATTGATGCTGTAGACACTAGATAGGTCTGTTTTTGCCTATTCCCCCCTTGACAGTCTGTTCCTCATCTCGCAAGTGTCAAGATAGAGTCTCTCCCAGCAGGTATTGTCTTTCTCGAAAAGAATTTGTTGTCTTTTCAAGATATTTGTAATTTCAGGTTCAAAAATCAATGAGGGAATCGTCATCTCGTGAATCAGAGAGTGAAGGACTTTGGGTGTTGGTTGATTCTGATGGAGAAGAAGATGATCTTACAGGTTGTCAATACACAGGTTGGGCAACTCACTTGCGTGAAAATGACCTGGTCTCGCTTTTAAACCAGATCCCAATGGATTGTCTATATCGACACATTCTGCTGATAGAGAGGCGTGATGATAGGTAAATACCTAGGGTAATCTACAGCTTTTGATAGTGATATTGTAAAGTTATATTTTTGTAACTGTTGGCTGAGATTTGTGTTGGATATTGTATTACATTGACTTAGGGGGTCAACATCTAGCCACCCCTTAAGCATGCAGCCCTCTGTGGGGTCCATTGCTCAACCTCATCGTGACTCAGGTTCTTTAGAAACCTTGGCCTTAGCTAGAGCCACACCCCTCCAAACTGAGGTCCACTTAATTTTCATTGGCTCTACCCATACAGAGTCAAAGGTCATACATAGATCTCTGACATCATGCCTTCTTCTCTTGGGCTGCTGGCAGCTGGATATACCAGATGCTCTCTGTCAATCACCAACAGGTACATCAGAGCCCCCAGCTGGCCCCACTAACAAGCCCTCAGCTTCCCGCAGAAGAGGCCACTTCTGCAGGTCAGACATTTCTTCTTGATGGATAGGCTGTTCACCCCCATCAAGAGACTTCTTTCAAATTTACTGTTCAAGACCCCTTATGAAAGCCCCCAGTCCTAATGGCTACTTCAGTCTTGCAGCAGGGGCAAGCAGCTTAGCCTTCTGGTAGAAGAGGAAGAGCTATTCTAGGATTTCTGATGTTGGGAAACCTGCAGCCACTGACAGGGACAGTTGATGCCCCACTGCTGGCCTCAGCTAGATCAGTAACTGATTTCCAGCCAAGCCCTCAGTTCCTTAAAGAAGAGCCTCTTACACCGGCCCACTTCTTTGCTAGCCTATCCAGTTCTTCATAATAGGTATTCAACCCTGTCAAGAGATCGCGTACAGTGTAGTCCTGAGTGGACTCTCACCAGAGCTTTTTATAGATCAGACTATCCATGACAGCAGAAGAGCAGAGGATTCAGGATCCTAGCCCCTCAAAACAGGGAGAGAACTCTCCCTCCTCAAAGCACGGGCAGCAAGGACTCTTTAGCTCCTCTCCACCTAAATTCCAGGAGTAGCATATCCCCCATCTGGTGTCAGCTAGATCCATACTTGAGCACCAACCAAGGTTCAGCACCTGAGACGTGAATTCCTCCCACAGCCTGCTTTGTCTGCCAGCCTGTTCATCTGTTTTTAATAGGTTATTCACGCCTCTGCAGAGACCTCTTCCAGTTTTGTTCTTAACAGACCCTCACCAGAGTCCTGAGGGACTTGACTACCTCTCCGCAACAGGAGAAGAGCATAAGACGCAGCATAAGCCCATCAAACCAGGACTCAGTCCCTCCTAGCACTGTAGGTGGTGCCCCTCCAGCCACCCTCTGTCTTGCAATAGCTTAGGCCCCACATCGTCCCAGGTTAAGCTTGGGGTTAATCAGCATTAACATGGTGTACAACATGATGATAAAGTTTTGAAGTTACTTGGGTCACCCAGCTACAGTGAAGGTTGTGGACTGTGTTAGCTGTAGTTAACATAAGTCTAGAACTTAAATTTAGTACATCTCATGAAGGACCACAGAAGCTTAAAGCACTGTACTCCAGACATTTGAATCTATATTGATATTACTTGAGTGAGATGATTTGTTCATATAGACAGACTGTTTTCATTTTTAATAGGGATTTGTTTGATATCAGAAGAGTGAGTGATCACCACGTTTTGCGTCTGTTTGCTTTTGCGACGGTGTTCGTTCGTCTGCTGAGACAAGGTCTACGTACATATGATTCTCCACGATATAGACAGTTTGCCAAGAGACTGGGCCGACTGATAAGGCATACTGTACAGTATGCTTCCGATTTATGGGAAAGTTTCAGGTATGTTACCATCAGTCATCTCTTTCATACTGCTTTAGCATACTTTCCATATATCCACATTATAGTGGTGGATTTTATGCCTGGTTTTATTTGGACAGATGCACTATTCCATTAAGAATTTAGAAGAATTTGTGCTGAGGTTAAGAGCACTTGCAGCTGTACCTGCACTTTCCCATACCCCTTTATGGTGTGATGCTTAATTAGGCACTGGGACAGCTTTCTATTTAAAGGATTATAAATGCTGACATTGGGAAAATATGTCAGAGATGTGAATAAGGAAAATACTTTATGAATTGGTTGTGTATTTTGTTTCCCACATTTGGGCATGGTTTTGCCAGCACAACCACAGGGAACACTAACAAGAATTTTTTTATGTATAAATCACCTCAGAAGACACAATGTTGTGCTTTAGACATGTTATGCTGGCTGCTGCTCAACATTCTCAAGTAGAAACATCAGGCTCTTCCACTTTGAAAGGATTTTCACTGCCCTCAGATGCTTGAAATGGAGCTGGGATAATATAGTCAGTATAGTGACTGCCTACGGGCTGGATGATCGAGGAATAGGAGTTTGAGTCCCGGTAGGGTGAATTTTCACTTCTCCAATTGTCCAGACCAGCTCTGGGGTTCACCCAACTTGCTATCCAGTGGGTACTGGGGGCTCTTTCCAGGGGGTAAAGCGGCTGTGGTGTGAAGCTGATCACTCACCTCCATATGCCTTCATGAAGTAGTGCTTAATTAGTTAAGCACAGGGACATCTTTTCTTTACCTTTACTTCAAATGCTTCAAGCTGTCTGATGAAAGGAGAATTTGTTTTGCTGTTTAACATAGAGTGATAGAACTCAGTGTAGGGGTGTTCTCGGAACACTTGAAATGTTCATTTATAAGGGCACCACACTGAGCAAAGTTCCCTATGGGTGATGTAGGCACATGGGCTTTATGTTGTGCTATAGTATAGTCCTTGTCACCACGGCATGGCATGTTCTCAGGTTTTGNCTCCGCATTCCAAGCCATTCAACTGCTCTGAAGATGGAGGCGCTACGTTCCTCCGAAACGTCGGCCAAAACGAAGAATACACGGTGCCTAAACCCAGAAGACGACTTTCTTCATTGATACAAAAATGTTCAAAAAATCTCAGACCTGGACATGTCCTGTGGATAAACAACCTAGGCAGAAGAAAATGGACACAAGATTCGGTATTTGGAATGTTAGAAGTATGTATAGGGCAGGTTCGCTAAGGACAGTGGCAGAAGAAATCTCAAAATATAAGTTAGATTTAGTGGGAGTACAGGAGGTCAGATGGGACAGAGGTGGCAACAAACCAGCAGGCGAATATACATTTTTCTATGGAAAGGGAATGAAAATCATGAATTGGGTACAGGTTTTTACACACATAAGAGCTTTGTGTCACCAGTTAAGAGGGTAGAGTTCATTAGTGATAGGTCGCTGGTGTGCTATCATTCTGAATATTCATGCCCTAACAGAAGATAAAATTATTGGTATAAAGGACAGGTTTTACAAAGAACTGGAACATATATTTGATAAATTCCTGAAGTACCATATGAAAATTTTGTTAGGAGACTTAAATGCCAAAGTAGGGAGGGAAGACATTTACAAACCAACGATTGGGAATGAGAGTTTGCATGAAATTAGTAATGATAATGGAGTTAGAGTAGTAAACATTGCCACATTGAAAAATCTTACTAACAAAAGTACAATGTTCCCACTTTGAAACATCTATAAATTTACTTGGAAATCTCCTGATGGGAAGACACAGTTGGATTGACCATATTTTGATAGACAGGAGTTGGCACTCAAGTATACTTGATGTCTGATCATTCAGGGCAGCAGATTGTGATACTGACCACTACATGGTTTGGCAAAAGTTTGGGAATGACTGGCAGTGAGCAAATGAACAACGCACACAGTTCATATGAAGAAGTTCAGTCTCAAGAAACTAAACGAGGTAGAGGGTAAAGAGCAGTATTGTGTTGAAATCTCAAATAGGTTTGAAGCTTTGGAAAATTTAGACACTGAGGTGGATGTTAATAAAGCTTGGGAAACTATTAGAAAAAATATAAAAATTTCTGCCAAGGAGAGTCTAGGTTATTATGAACCGAAGAAGTATAAATGGTTCAATGGATGCTCAAAATTATTAGACCAAAGAAAACAAGCCAAATTGCATTGGTTACAGGATCCAAATTAAATAAATGGGGATAATCTGAAAAATATAAGACGTGAAACCAGCAGGCATTTCAGGATTAAAAAAAGGGAATATCTGAAAGATAAAATTGACGAGCTTCCAATAAACAGCAAGAAGAACATTAGAGACCTGTATAGAGGAATAAATGACTTTAAGAGGGCTTACAAACCTAGAATTAACTTGGTGAAAGATAAGAATGGTGATCTGCTTGCAGATTCCCACGACAATTTGAACAGGTGGAAGAACTATTTTTGTTAATTATTGGATGTACATAGGGTCAGTGATGTTAGGCAGATAGATGTACAAGGTGGTTCAAATATGACTGGGATTGATATTTCTTTTTAAAAACCATAATTGCCAAACACTTATTTGCACATGTCAGTCTTCAACCTACTCCCCTCCGGAGTCAACACATTTTTTGCAACGTTCTGGAAGCATCCTGATGCTCTTTTCAAAAAAGGCTTGTGGTTGGCAGTGTGTCCACTCCCAAACAGTCTGGATGACGGCGTCGTCCACAAACCGCATGCCTTGCAAGTTTGATTTGAGCCTTCCAAACAGGTAGGTATCACATGGGGCCAAATCGGGACTGTACGGTAGATGTGTCAGAAGGTTCCATTTCAATTTCCAGAGGTTTTCCATTGTTGTTTTGGCCATATGGGGGCCTGCATTGTCTTGAAGGAAGGCTACCCGCTTTCCACCTGTCTTCCGCTTGGATCGGATCATTTCCTTCATGTCTGTTGCCAGGAGGTTTGACTAATAAGCTGCATTGACTGTTCTGGCATCTGTCAGAAAGTCTACTTGGATAACCCCCTGCCAGTCCCAGAAGAACGTTGCCATCACTTTTCCTGCCGAACGGCGCCTCCGCGCTCTCTTGGGTTTGGGAGAACTGGTATGCCACCACTCACGTGATGACTGCTGGGACTCGGGAACGAAGTAGTGCACCCACGTTTCATCGGTGGTCACTATAGACTTCAAAAATGCATCACCTTCATCTTCAAACTACTGTAGGAGACAACTGGCAGCTGCATGCGCACCATTTTATTCACGTCCATCAAAGTGCGTGGTACCCACGGTGCATTCACCTTGTGATAGTGCAGGTGGTATTTCACGATGTTTTCTACAATACCAACACTGATGGACAGCATTGCTCCAAGTTCCTTGATAGTGATGTGCCGATTCTCATGAATAAGCGCGCCTGCACAATCAGTGTTTGCTTCGGTGACGGATGTTCGCGGCCAGCGATCATGCGGTTCATTCTCCACACGCTCTCTGCCCTCTCGGAAGCTCTTACACCATTCAAACACACGGGTCCGTGAGAGACACTCTTCCCCATACTGTTGTTGGAGTCTGTGGTGAATTTCTGCAGAGTGGACGTTTTCTCCAACGAGGAATTTGATCACAGTGCATTGTTCCATGCTCCGTGGTACCTTCTTTTCGCTCATCACTCTAGTAACTCCCAGACAAGACTGAACAGGTTCTAACCCAAACAGGAGGGAGGCTGAAGGTTGTGGCTTCACTCTCTCAAGGTCGCACAGCTGCTGTGCAGTGCGGCTTATTTGCACACAAATCAGTCCTGGTCATATTTGAACCACCTTGTACATACAGATGAGCTGTTAGTACCTCATCTTAGCCCTTTTGAGGTTGAAAGTGCAGTTGCGAAATTGAAGAGGTATAAATCGCCAGGTAGTGATCAAACTCCAGCAGAACTTATTCATGTAGGAGGCAAAATATTACATTCTAAGATCCATAAACTAATTTCTTCTATTTGGCATAAGGATAAAATTTTCTGATCAGGGGAAGGAGTCTATTATTGTACCAGTTCACAAGAAGGGTAATAAAAGTGACTAGTAATTATCGGGGAATATCATTGCTATCAATTTCATACAAAATTTTATCCAATATTCTTCTCTCAAGGTTAAGTCCATACGTAGATGAAATTATTGGGGATCATCAGTGTGGGTTTCAACATAACAGATCAACTACAGATCAGAGCTTTTGCATTTGTCAGATACTGGAGAAAAAATTGGGAGTACAGTGAGACAGTAAAGTAAAAGTAAAGCTATCCCTGTACCAGGCCGTGAAGATCCATAGGGTTGTGAGATGTTGAGGTTCCCACACTATCTAGACAAGTGGCTCAAAGATGGTGGTAAGGTTGTCAGCCTTATGCACCAGCCGCGCTTTACTCCCCAGGAAAATTATTTCATTAATTCCTGGTACTCATTTCTGTTAGAGGCTGAGTGAACCCCAGGGCCATAGTGCGGCTGGAAGGGTTAGGTGAATTGAAAAAAATCCAACAAATTTAAAACATCTGAAGCAATGAAAAATTCTGATGCCCTGGAATTGATTACACAATCATCTGGAACCAAGGCCTGCACACTAAGCCATGTGCAGAATTTCATTTTATTGATCTTTATAAATAGACATCATCTAAACATGACATTAGAAATATAGTGAAGTGTATGGATTTTGCCTGCATCTTCTTATTAAATGGAGTCAATTTTCTGAATCACTATGGGCTGAGTGACTGGTACATAAGTATTCATTAAAAACATTTTTATGGTAGTTATTTTCTGTCCTTACCCAGCATCTGGTCTCCCCAGCTAGGCGACTTCTTTTAAGTGATCTTCTCCATGGCTGTTAGTATATATATATATACACATATACATATGTTAATAACAGTAGTAAAAAATTGGCTCACATATGGCAGTGAGGTTGTGAACCTTATGCCCTAGCTTCTCTTTACGCCCCAGGAAGATTCCCGGTACTCATTTCTGTTAGAGGCTGAGTCGACACCAGGGCCATAGTGCGGCTGGAACGATTAGGTCAATTGAAAGATCCAAAGACCTCATTAGGAATCAAATTCATAGTTTCTTGTTTTTTACTTTACTTTTAGGATATACAGTCAGCTAAGTGATCTGGCCATGCTGAGACGATTGCAGACAGAATATGATGCGTTCTTCCTCCGTGCTACACGTTCCATATTTTCATCACAACGCCTTGGAGCATGGCAGTTTCTGGCTGTTATTCCTTACAACACAGTCTCCATATCAACACTGTGGAGGCTGTTCTATAGCCTCCATGAAGAGTATCAGGAAGAGGATTCATTAGCAACTTGGACGGACACAAAGACAGGTAAACATCTGCATTCATCTGGACCCATTTTCTCTTCTCCACAGTGTCCAGAGCAGCTCTGGACACACCCAGCCTACTGTCCCATGGGTACCAGGCCTCTTTCTCTGGGTAGGTAAAGCAGCAGTTATGTCAAGCTGCCAACTCACCCACATCTAAAGCTGAGGTCAAAAATGGTAGAGCTATACCTCTGCTCTCCCATATGTCTTTATGGCATAGTGCTTAATTAATTACACACAGGGATAACTTTACCTTTATGGGATATGTGATTTGGAGACTGTGGTACTGTTAGATACAGCTAACTCATTTCACAGAGCTGAATCCTTGAGAATCTGCAGTTGCCCGGCCTCTCAAGAGATTCCCAACATTTTATGGAACCCAAAGGCCCATTACCATGATCACAAGAGCCCACCATTGGTCACTATTATGAGCTAGATGAATCCAGTCCATATACTTCCATCCTCTTTCTTCAAGATCCTTTTTAATATTATCCTCCAACTTGGTAGTGGTCTCTCTCCTTCAAGTTTTCCTACAAAAACTTTGTACACACTTTTGTTGTCTCCAGTGGATGCTGTGTGTTCAACCAATCTCACCCTCCTTGATTTTATTATTCTAATAGCATCTGGCAAGGAATTCAAATTATGAAGTGTCTTAATATGCAGTTTTTTCCAGCCTTCTATTACTTTATTCCTCTGAGTACCAAATATTCTTCTCATATACATCTCTTAATAGGAGAGTAGAAGTTTCACATTCATACAAAAGGACAGGCGAAATTTTAGTTTTATATGTTTTATACCTTATGTTTTAGGAAGATGCAATTTATGAATTGAATGGTAGTAAGGATTCCAAAATATTTTAACTTAAACACATTTTTGTAGGATTGATAAACTATATATATGAGACAAACTCCGTCTTAAGTGCTACAATTAAATTGTTGCACTTAAGACAGAGTTTGTCTCATATATATTGTGTGAGTGTAACAGGATGCTTAAATATAATATTGTTGATAAAATATTTTTTTGTTTTGCTCTCTGATGGTATAACATCACCAAATACTTTGTTCTCTCTGTGGAGTTAGGTATAGCAGTTGCCTGTGTCATGAAACAAGATCTCAAGGAGTATTCTTGTGATGTCACTTTATTACTCAACACCGTAACTACAATTCAACATAATTATTTTTTTTTTTAATTGCTAGTGAGGTGGGACCAAGTCCCTTGTACTGTGGCCACTTCTGGCCTATTGTACCAGCCCCATATGATAGGTGAGGGTGATTATGGAGCAGTTGGTGGAATGAAGATTGGCAAGGGAAACCGAAGTACTAGCAGAAAACCTCCCCCAGCGCCAGTTTGTCCACCACAAATCCCACTTGACCAGACCCGGGATCGAACCCAGGCCACCACAGTGGGAAGCCAGCGACTATGGCGCAGCCAACAATTCAACATAACTATAACACAAAATGTTGAACAAGTTGTTTCACAGTCACTTTTTTCATGTTAACAACTCTCACTAGACTGTAGAACTGTCCATCTCTCCGTGCTGGCTAACCACTGGCTTCTGTCAACACACACTGTCTTCTGTTGGTCCTCAGCTTCTGTCTTCTACTGTCTTCTATCCACTTACCCTTGCCCCTGTCAACACAGTCTTCTCTCTGCACCACTGCCACAGTAGATATATATAGGACAAGGGGTGCCTGTTGCCTAGCAGCAGCATCCTCCGCTGTTATGTCACAGCAGGGAAGTGTTCACTGTCTCTTTGTCTAGCGCAGCTCCTCTGCTGTTGTGTCACAATGGGGAAGTGTTTACTAGCCTGTTGCCCCTAGCAGCAGCAGCGGTTCCTATGCTGTTGTGTCACCACAGGGAAGTGTTCACTGTCTCTTTGTCTAGCGCAGCTCCTCTGCTGTTGTGTCACAATGGGGAAGTGTTTACTAGCCTGTTGCCCCTAGCAGCAGCAGCGGTTCCTATGCTGTTGTGTCACCACAGGGAAGGGTTTACTGACAACGCATGCATTATCGCATCGTGATGAGTTGACGATTCCCAACAGCCTGTATGTGGAAGGTATTATATTTGCATAATGCCTATCTCTTCTCTTTACAGTGAAACCCCATATTTAATGTTTACTTAGGAAGTAGTATATTTTGACATTAAACAGGTCCTGCTTACATGCTTTCACACTGAGCATACCCCTGCCGCCCAACCCATAGTCCATTGGTATACCGACTGAGCTATCCCAACATCTATTCCATCATTAGGGTGTTGTGTTTGTCTCTCATCACTGTCAGACATGAGCATTTGTGTGTATTCCTTTTATTTTCCCCACAGCAAATAGGAAATACCTAAGAATCATTTGGCCCAAACCTGTAAAAGTGACGTACTAGTCAACAAATGCTGAATTTTTGCCCAGATTGGGAAAGAAAACTAATGGCGCCAGAGTTGCGACAGCAGTTTGAGGAGAAACTGACATCCATGCCTGATGCAGAATCTTTCTACTTGTTGACAACATTTGCAAACATGGCAATGGCTAGATCAGATCCTGCAGACAGAAGCTTTGTCCATGCTGCTACTCTTGACCTATTTCAGGTGAGTAATCTGCCAGTTTCATTACTGATCTTAAGACTTCCACATTGGTTCTTTGTTGATGTTATGTTGCCGTTTGGAAGTGGGAAGTTCTGAGTTTTCAGAAAAAGTTGAAGAGGGGGAGGGCTAATGCCTGGTTCAGGCCAATGAGGATGATAAAGAAGGAATTCTGACCATAAGCAACCCTTGTAAGGGCCACTGAACACATCATAACCATTAGGGACACTACATGCTGATGGAATCAGGTACACTTTCTTGTCCTTACAAGGGTAATTTTTGTCACAGTTCCTTCCTTGTTCATTATCCATATTGATCTGTACTGGGCACTACCCCCTTCCCCCCATGGGTCTGTTGCACCACCAACTTATATGGCATGATTGGTCTCTCTAATTACTCGCTTTGACCCTAAAGATGGAGGAGTCAGGGTCCTCTGAAATGTTGGCAGTACAGTTCACTTTCATGCATGTGGCAATATTGTATTGGCTGAAGCATTCCTTATCATCAGAGTGTCAGTGTTAGTAAGTTAGTAAGAGTGTCATCCTATGAAGAATCTAGCTCTTCATATTCTTCTGTACATGCACATTTGCCTGTATGTGCATGCATGTCCGCTTACCTTCATTTGGGTTATAGAGAGTTGTCTTCTGGGATATAATGCCATGTAGTCCATTGAAAGTCAGCTGACAGTTAACATGTTGCCACTGTCTTAAAGATTGAAGGATAATCCAAGCAAGACCCCAACATGAAGCAGGTAGCAAGCTGTGACATGTATCTCTGAAACGTCAGTTGACTTTCAGCAGACTACACAACATTGTATCCCAGAAGATAAGACTCTTCATAACCACCACTGTGAGAACCTCAGGTCATACATATGTTGGGTTTGATTAGTGTTTCGAGTATTGGATTAGGTTACAGTAATTTAGGCAAGGTTAGTGTCATTTCAGATGTTTGTTTATGTTCTGTTGTAGACAGTGACAAACTACCTGCTTCTGAATGCTTATGTACAAGGACAAATTTACTCTCATAAGATTGTGACAAAGACAAGAATATTTCAAGTTCAATCTGAGGTTCCCATGGCCATGGCTTTGCAAAGTCAGTTCTTCTGGGTTGTATTGCTATGTAGTGTGGTAGATGTCCATTGATGTTTTGGAAGAATGTATCACCTCGTGATTTCGAATATTTCGAATATAAGCTGCACCCCAGTTTTCCTCTTGAATTTTTTGCAAAAAATGTGCGGCCTATACATGCGTAAATACGGTATTTCAAGTTCAATCTGAGATTCTCATGGCCATGGCTTTGCAAAGTCAGTTCTTCTGGGTTGTATTGCTATGTAGTTTGGTAGATGTCCATTGATGTTTTGGAAGAATGTATCACCTCCATCTTCAGGGTCAAAATGTAAGCCAAGTGACCTGTTCCTTGCTGGTTTCTTGCTTGGCTTACTCTTTGACTCTGAAGAGGCAATATGTTTCTCCAAAATATCAGTGGACTTCTACCTTACTTCTCAGAGTTACAGCCTAGAATATTGTAGCCTTAAAAAATGTCTTAAGTTCATTTTGGAACTTGCAAGTCCTTGGTGTCAGATCTTGGGTTCGTATCTGCAAAGAAGTCACATTACTCTCATTGCATTTAATTGTTTCCTACAGGCCATTTTCCTTTTTTTAATTTATGAATTTATGTTTATCCACTGATGTAATTTAGGTTGGTTTCCTGAGTTCTGCCACACAAGACAGCTGTTCTAAAACAGCACGGGTTTTGCTGGCCAACATTACTTCCCGACACCCTTTGTTGTTATCTGATGTCCTTTATAAACTGCAAGACAACTTCACACAGGCTGGAAAGGTATGTTTACTCAGTACTGATAGTTTGCTGCAGAAAATCAGTCCCATTTTGGTAGTAACTGAAATCTGTCATTCTTACACTAACAAACTCCACCACGAGTGTTTGTACATGTGCGTGCACATACAAAATAATGGTAGTGTACTTGAAAATTAGTAAATTGCTACCATTAAATGAGACTTGTTGCATTGACCAGCTCTTCCTAACAGATATTTACACCATAAGAAAACCTCTTCTGCATCTAATGATGGAAACGAGTCCAGTTTCCAAAATGTTACATTTGACAAATCACATACATAATGGTAAAACGTAAAGTTACTGTGCACGACTAATTAAGCACTACGCCATGAAGACATAGAGGAGTGGATGTGTGGATCCACTAGCCCAGGGTGACTGGTCAGCTTCATGCCCCTGCTGCTTTACCCCTGGGGAAAGAGCTCCTGGTACCCATTGGATAGGAGGCTGGGTGGGCCCCAGAGCCGGTATGTATGGCATGGAAAAGAGAAAATTCTTGACCCTACTGGGACTCTGAAGTCTGACCCCTTGGTGATCCAGCACATAGCCATTTGCTTTACTGACTATGCTGTCCCAGCTCCTCATTGATGGTGGACAGTGACATTCACATTGAATTATTGAATTACAAAGGTTACTTTTGTGAAATTGACTTTAACCTTTAATGTATGGACTTTAAAATTGTCGAGAGCCTGCTGCAGCCAGAATTTAAATGGCCCTAAGTCTTTAAAGTTTGCAGACTTTCAGGAAAACTGCATATTTTCCATTCTATGCAATATAGAAATACAAACTAAAAACAGTAACATTTTCTACATATACACAAAAGAGCAATTTTTACAAATGAAAATATTCTGTGTATTTTGTCATGAAATGCAAAATATCATCTTTATTATATATATTATGAAATTCCAAAGGACTTACCTGTAGTTTTTTCTCAAAACTTCAGTCATGTATATTTTGTAAAAAATAATCACACTATATACAATAATTCTTTGTTCAGACTGTACATGACCATGAACTGTGTCATTTCACAGTTTATGATAACACCATTCAGTGCTCACACTCTGACACGCGTGCACCACTGGTGGAAGCAGTCCTTGACACACAGACCAACATCACGTTTTTTACAATAGTAGAGGGTGCTCCTGATTTTCTTATTTATCAAAGACACACAACAATGTCTTTGTTTCCCTTTGGATGGCCAGTGTTTTGAATGATTCACCTTTAGTTGACTCAGTTGGGTACCAGATGAACTTGGCCTCCCCCGAGAAATGCCACTGACCGGGTCTCCCCCGAGAAATGGCACTGACCGGGTCTCCCCCGAGAAACGGCACTGACTGTGATAATCCACCTCATGTGCCTGTACAATCAAATCACGCACTAGGATTTCACGGAATTTTTTATGTGTCATTTTTCTACCACATGACTTGTGCAATAAACAGGCATTGAGAATAGTCATGTCTGGAAGGTGATGAAACAATTTCTTTGTCCATTTCCATGTCCTCCAGGCAATTCCATAACTATTTACCATCCTGTGAGATTTATCCACAAAGCCCATATGTGCATAGCTGTTACCAGTGGCTCTGTACCTCTACCGAGACACAAAATAAAAATGTTTTATAAATAAATGATTGACAATCTGACACTGACTTTCTGACTGATAATTTGCTACTGAAAAAAATCCTTGAAAACGACCCACTTCCTTGCAACCTCAAGCAGCACTAATCTGCAAGCACAGATGAATATTTACTTCTCAGTTCTCAAAACAAAGCTGGGCTATATTTGGCTGACCAGTCATAAGCTGTCATATCTAAACATAAATAATATCAAAACTAGTACCATGATAAATGATTTCTTTGTTCAGAGCTAACAAATGAACCACTGACTTGACGTTGCGTATGTTTGTTGTGGTTTCAATGGAAGATCAAACTGTCAGCACTCCCAAAGAGAACAGGTGTGCTTGTGCTGCATTAGATAAATCTAAAATTTGGCCACATCAGAGTGTTACTTGCCATTACATATATCTAACATTCGTAGGTTAAAGGTTAAGAGGGCAGCATATTGTTCACAGCTGAGCCTGTACCTCTTCAAGGAGTTACCTTTGCACCTATGGAAACCAACTGAACAAGATCTCTGCATTGTTTCCCACTGGCTTCTTGAGTGTCCACCGAGCTCCATAGAGAACCAGTTGGCTCGCCAGATCCTCAGCCAGCTTAACTGGGGGTGTGAAGGACCAGGTGCTCATGGAGGTGAATTGGCTCTACCACTGGAGCTACACCAGCGCGTGGCTATACTAGTTGTGGAGGCAGCACTTCGTTTTGTACCCGAGACAGTGGCTGCAGGAATGATCACAGAAAGTGTAAAACAGGTACAAAGCTGTGAAAACATTACACATGTGTTTATATTATTGTATAGTGTACTGTAGTATCGTGGTGGAATTCATTTACCTCTGTTTTTCATGTGTGAAGTTTAAGTGACGTGCAGAGTTGTTTGACCACTCAGCCATGAGTGACAGACGCTCCTTACGTCAACTCAAGTCACACAGATTTGGACTGAAAGTGGGCTTGACAAAGCAATTGAGATTTCTCTTCACTATTACCCCACTAAATCATTGAACCAGCTACTGTGAAGCAAGCGTATGCATTATTTATGAGTTAACCATAATCCCAAGTCCCTGCTACAGTATTTAAATATTTAACTCAGTTGGGTTACTTATGTCAAAATTCCACATGGGAGATACACATTGGAATGACTTCTCCCCCCCCAGATATGTAATGATGCTTTCAGCTTTGAGACTATATAGTGTCCGATGTCAGGATCATTGTTGAAGGATGAATTGAAAAGGATGTGGAAGGCAATGATAATATTGTATGTCAGGTACTCTCTGTCATTTGCCTTGAAGGACTGACGAAAACACCTCTAGACTTGAAGAATGCCATCTTCTGGGATGTGGCACTGTGTAGATATTGTGTAAACCGACGTTTTGGAGGAACGTATCACCTGCATCTTTGAGGTAGAAGAAAGAATTCGCAGACTGCAGCCACCTGCTCACGCTGGTTTCTTGTTTGCATATTCTTTTACCACTACGATGATGGAGGTGATATGTTCTTCTGAAACGTCGGTTTACGCAATAGCTACACAGTGCCACATCCCAGATGATGGCATTCTTCATAGTCACTGCCATGAAAACCTCAAATCTTACACCCCTGTAGTTGCAAAATGGAGGTGCCCTGTTCAAGTCTCAGCCAGGTCACCTGTAGACCAACCTGTTAAAATGTGGCTTTGTGAGAAAAATGAAGCAGTATATTCAGTTGTAAATATCGGGATGTTACAGTTCCAACCAGAAAATTGTACATACAGTCATAAACATACAAGACTGAGAGTATCTTAATTGGACAATAACAGAACCAAATCAAAGCACTGAATGCTCATTGAAGACATGCTGGATGAAATCTGTGCTATGATTGAATATCCTCCATGGCAATTCTCTAGATGCTAGCGACAGTTAGTGTGTGATGAACAACTGAACAAGAAGTGGTGCTGCAGGCAACGGTATAATAGGAAACTTAAAATAAATCAACCTGTCAATTATATAATTCATGGATAAATGAGATATACTCGTAGTGTATAAAACGAAGGAACAAAGACAAGAAAACAGAACAACAGTATCAGAGACAACAAGACATTACCTAAGAATAATTCAACACAGGTTATTTAGTACTGATAGTATATGATAGCGCACTGTTTCAATAATATAAAACGAGATTAATGTGCATAAAAAATCGTGTCTGACCTGATTGCAAATATAAATTTTATGAAGATTGACACTATTTTAATACAACCAGAATATAAAACTGTGTTGATCTGTACAAATAACAATATAAATTAAATTATTTTATATTATTTTAGAACATGATTTATAATATGGATCCATAGTAATTATAATTATAATTCAGTTTCTAGCTTTAAGTACTCTATCGTCCGATGATGGCTCCAAGTGAGCCGAAATATTTCGCGTAATTTTAACACAGTTAAACTCAATGTACATAAATGTGGTGATGAACTGATGGTTTTATATATATATATATATATATAGAATGATCAAGTCAAGGAGGATGAGGTGGGTAGG